AGAGTCGTGGAACGAATTAATTTCGTGAACCGAGGTACCACTGTATAGTTTTCGCACGACAGGATATTGATCTCCAAAGCAAAAGAATACGCAACATCTAGCATTCTTTACCTCTTTGCCAATATATTTTTCCTAATATTTTTCAAGTAACTCTGCATCATTTATATAATGAATGAATTATAATGAATACATAGACCAGAATACCGGAAGCAGGAAGTGTTTATATACTACTTCATGTTAGGTGAAAACATGCTTTTAAAATTTTGGGATTGGAATGCACAAATGTATTTTCTGCAAGCGTCATGGGTATTGGTCTTCCTATCTGCATGGCAGGATCTGTTCTTCTGGAGGGCAGGTGGCAGCTAATCAGTGTAATAGAGCTGATCTAGAAACTGGCTTATGTTGGTAGAATAAAATGGGAGGAAGAACGAGTCTGCTATCTTGAGCTTTTGGAGAAAACTTGGAATGTATATAGCGAACCAATATAAATTAATAAATCATATATAAGGCACAAATCTGTTTAGCTATATCATTATGTTTCACAAGGGGAGAATGTGCCTGCAGGTGTAAGCAAATCGTGCTTCCTGTTCCCTGAATTAAAAAAAAAATGAGGAAGAAATCCTCTTCTAAATAAAAGTCTTCTTTTTTATTCCAGGTTGATGACAAGGGAATGCTCCTCATACCAGGAAATGAATGGGCAATCTTTAGACTGGGTCATTCAGGCACAGTAACTCACATAGAAATAGATACCAGTCATTTTAAAGGTAAATTATGTGCCAGTTTCAAGGATCTTCTAAATGTCTTCTATATGGAGAAGTTCATTACTATCCCAAAAATACTTTTTCTGAAAAATAGGCATGAACACATTTTGGCATCTTTTGTTAAAAGGTAGCAATTTTATACTAGGTTTAGCATAAATGTTTGTAACATTCATTACCCAATAGTTCAGCTTTCAAAATTTCACAGATCATTCTATAACTCATATATTATCTAATCCATGTTTCTTTCAAGTACACGTAACTGTATGCTTACCCTAAATAAATGCCTTAGGTTTACTTGCCCAGCGACTGCCCCCAAACATCACTGCTCTAGAGGAGATCTGCATGGAGGAATGGGCCAAAATACCAGCA